ACTGTTATGTAATTTCATAGAAACTACCGATCACTAGACTACATTTTTGCTAGCTAATGTAAACTTTAAACTTTTCATCAATATTCGCTAACTTACTACGATCTGCCCTCAGCAAATGTTTTGGACAAAATACATAGTAGCTATTATAATAGTACAATAAGCAAACCCACATATTTCTTTAACTACCTTCCATATTTCTGTGCACAAAGTTTCTGCTACAGCAATTACATTTTAATAACTTCCAGAAAATATAATTTAAAATAATTACTTTAAAAAAGCATAATATATTATATGTTCTGCAATCTCTAGAACGTATTATGTGCACTTTCTCACCAGTGCTGAATTAACCAACTAAGAAACCCCAGTCAAACCATACATTATTTAAATTATAACTGTTACGTCTCTGGTCGTTAGTTAATTTTCAGTATAATTTCTTTTCGATGAAACTTTAGCGACACAAGTCCTTTCTTAAATAAAACTAGTTTATTCTTTCTCAATACAACTTTGAAATTCACTTAATTTTCACAGTCACGCTGTAACTTAAACAAACGCTATAATTCATAACGAACAACACACATGCTCGACCCAACTGTCCGTCTCTATCTCTGTCTGCAATTCAACTGCATTATTGCCGTCACTTCTTTGCGGTCTTATATACAAGAATACCGCATATCTAGTAAACACTCGAGGCTTCACGAACGGACATGAATTTTCTAGAAGCTCATGACGTGTTACTAGGGTCACGTGACTTCTGCTGTCGTAACATAACCTTTATCAATGATCAAATACATAACAAATCTCACTTATGTGAAAATGAATATGGTTATAAGCTATATTTTTTAATTTTGTAACGTAGATCTTAGCTAGAGCGTGCATGGTGTTTAGATAAAAAAGTTTAATAATGTATGCCTAGAAAGTTCTAAATATTTTGACGTAAAATTTACTAGGAAATTCGAGGGAAAGTAAAGTGACTAAAGATAGTGTTGTGAAGATATTTGTTTCTAGCAAGTAGAGACTAGAGTGAATCAGTCAGAAAGTGTTTATATTTCAACTAGCGATGAATTAGTATGTGTTTTGTTTTTCAGTTACTTGGTAGACCAGCAATGAACTTGTTCAAGAAAGTTTGTTTTTACTTTAGCTTTGTGGAGTTAGGTATCTCTATACGAAGCCTACAACGGAATACAAGTTACAACAGTGTAGAAGCTTAAAGAAATGTTAAGGGAGAAATATATTAATTAGTTCTTGTTACGTGCATTGAACTTGGAATTATTTTCACCAACTAATTTCAAATAACCCACTAGCATAAGAACAACATTACAACAATGGTGTCAAAAATATTGTTATTTTGGTTAAAATAAAATAGAATCTTGAGTACTCTTGAAGTTATACTTTAACTGTGAAGAAGAGGATCGCGAGGTCAGTGAATGAAAGTAAAACATTACTTAACATGATGAAATTATTAATACAAGATCAAGAGGAATGAGACAGAAAATTTAAAGAAGATTGGAGACTGGGACAGAAAATTAAAGGAAGACCAGGAAGAATGTGATGAGAATTTTAGAGAGCAGTTAATAGAAAGAGGTGTACTATTTAAGGAAGATATAAATCTGATTGAAGATAAGATCAATGAAATTATTAGAGATGAACACAGACATGACAACAATAAGGTTGAAGACATATGGATAGACTGTAATGAAAAGACTGAAGAAGTACAAAAGGACATTGATGAAATCAGAGACAAAGTAAAAAAAAAAAAAGGAAGGACATCAACGAAGTATAAATGAGCATCACTGATGTAAAGAGAACATCAGTGACAGAATAAAACATCTGGTAAACAAATTATTGAATGCAAACTAATCCAGCCACATCTCTTTCTGCATTGGCTCAAGAGTTCCAACCTAAACAAAAACAAAAAAAAACTACTACAAAACATGGAATAGGAGAACCTATTGGGCTACACCTATTGCTACAGAACTCTCCTGGACTACTTCAACCATGAAACATTAAAATCAAGCTCCAGAATATAGCTGGCTAGTTTAAAATTAGGTAACCAAGAAATCAATGGACTATGATAGGAGGGTATTACATAAATTATACCACACAAAATCGTTCAAAATCATTTTCAGAGTGAACAGATGGAACAGTGAACAACAAACCATTCATCAGTTTTGAGAGCATTAAGTAGCCATCCAGCTGAGAGCCATAACAACTACCAGTCATTAATAATTGCCATATCCTACAGGTTTAGAATGACATATCAGAAGAAAGTATCCAGAGTCAAAATTCCAAAATAAGGTATGGAAGATAGAAGAGAACTTAGCTAAAGTCACAGAAGATTTGCAAATGCTTGCTCAGTTATCTTACCCGTGATCAATTTATATATGCCATAACAGAAGAGGATATGAGAATCAGACTGAAGCAAAGTAGATGCACATTTTAAAAAGACAGTCTGTGATGAGATTATAATCCATTAAGCACCTTGAAGTTATGGGATCATCATATCAAGCAGTATTGAAACAACAACTCGCACTGATGATTGTCTAGAAGAAACTAAAAGATTCATTGGACAACTAGTTACAAAGGATTGATGAAACAAACCACAACACAATAAGTATTTCAATTGTAACTTGATAGGACAGAAGCGAGGAACTGTAGGTTAATGCCTGTATAGAAAAATAACTTCTTCCAGAGGATACTAGAAAGAGAAAATTGTCATATTTTGGGAAATATGCCATTATAGTCTAAACAGAAGGAATCGATAGCTGTTATTAAGCCAAGGAGACATTACCCAGAGAATATGCCTTTGATCCCAACCAGATCAAAAGAACCAAAATTAGTTAAACAGACATAAAAAAGAAAGATAGAAATCAGGTTGATTTATAAGCAAAGTTCATCTGAGAATACTCCATCTATCCCATATGAGAAAAGAAGTTCATTATTTGAGGAAAATCATCTAAGAGTTCATGGACTTATTGATGAAAACTTGCAATATGCTTACTGACACTATTTCTACAGTTACAGTTGTTTGACCCAATTTGTTAATGAAAAACATAAGTTGTTGCCAGAGGTGAAGAAATAAGATGAAGTGATGTGAAAAGTAGATGGACATAAAGTTCCAGTACAAGGAAAGTTGGAAGATACTCTTACAGTAGGAAGTTTCTCTATATCTCATGATGCATTGTAATTGACATAAAGGAAGAGTGCATACTGGGAACTAACTTCATGCGGAAACATGTATGCAAGGTTAAGCTAACTTCAAATAGCTTTATAGTGTATGGCCAGGAAATCCCTGTGCAGTACGTGGCAATTACTACACCAAAGGATGAACTTCTATTGGTCACAACACCACCAAGAAGTGAAATACTCATACCAGAAGTTATTACCAATAATGAATAGGGCATAGTGGTATCAAATATTCTGGCATATCCTGAGATATTGGTGGTTGGAAGAGCTTTTGTAGATATGAAAAATAAAGATGCCATACATTACTTTACCAAGAAAGACTTAAATCAGATAGTTATAAAATGAAACGTCACTGTGATATTAATGCTGATAAGACCAAACTTCACTGAAGTAATGTGGAATGACTATATAATCCCTGCCACAAGAAGTCAAACTCCAAAGTTAGGCAGATGCTATGAAAGGCCATATGCTGTACTGAAAATAATCAGTGATGTGGTTTACAGAATCAAGAAGGATAGGCAATCCAGGCCAAAGATCATCCACCATAATAATCTTTGGAAGTTTTTTGATGAGAGAACAATCAACTAGGTAATTTTGGGGAAGAGCTTGGCAACAGAAACTCAACCTACTGAGATCCCAGAACTGGAGCTGCCAGTTGAATCACTCCATCATCTACCAAGGAAGAACTCTCCCAGCAACAGGATGGCCAATGACAACAAGAGACAAAATGCCATCTCATCTACATATCATGAGCCTTGGAAAAGGAAACTACCAAAAAGATTTGGTGTATGGACAGTTTATTGTGGTGTTTTATCATTTTTTTGTTTTAAGATCGTTTAAAGGACATCACAATTCAGGAATGTAGCAACGTTATAAGCTGTATTTTTAATGTTGTAATTTGGATATTAGCTAGAGGGTGCATAACGTTAAGATCTAAAAAGTTTAATAATTTAGGCCCAAGAGGTCCTAAAATTTTTGAAGTAATATTTTCTAAGTAAATTAGAGATGCAGATTATAAATATGAGGGACATAGAATCATAATCATAGAGTTGTTTGATTGTTTCTTGCCAGTAGAATGAAACAATATAAGAGTGTTTTGTTTCAATTAGCGATTAATCAGCAGTGTTTTGTTTTTGAGTTACTTGATCGACCAGTCGTGAAGTTGTACAAGTAATTTTATTTTTACATTAGTATAGTACAGTTAGCATTGCTGTAACAAGGCCTACAACTCAGTACAAGTTACATGAACGTCAGTTTTGTAGAAATGTTAAAGAAATAATAAATTTATTTGTTATCATTACTTTTACTGGACTTTGAACTATTTTTCTCAGACCATTTAAAAGAACCTGCTAACGTTACAACTTTTCCTGAGTTGTTATAACGAGTCACACAATTTTATGTGTTTGGGATGGAAGGTCTTATAATTGTACATATTACATCAACTCTAGATTTATTGCTCTTTCTTTTTCTTTTTTTTTATTGATATAAAGTAACTAAAGCACAGTTGTTTAATTACCCTATTAAATTCCGTTTAAAGGAGAGAAATTTATGTAGCAGCGTGCCATCTGTAGGTAAGTATTTATGACGTCGTGAACTGTATAAAGTGTATTGATGGGAAGACAGGTACGAATAGTGGTTACGTTCTACTATACATTAAATTTGATAAAAATAGATCATTTAATGCTTATGTTACCTAAATATTATCCAAGTTTTAAATGTTATTAGATTCTGTTCAGAGCACTGTTTTAATTTTCAATCTGTAATTTTTTGAATAAGTGGTGAGACGTCAAGTTACTTCACGCAATTACTGAATTTACTCTTTTAGTTTTTAGCTCAGAATTTTGGAACCAATCTTCAAGTTCATCCCCAGGCTGTTCATTTATAATTTATCTCAAACTTTAGACCTATACTTGAATTCTGAATTACGTTGGATTACAGTTTTTGATAAATTTTAGATAAAATTGGCAAGTTCACTGATAATTTATTCGTTATATTCATTATACTTACAGAAAAGTCTAATTTAATACTACTTGTGCAGTGCTATAAAATATTACTCTTAATAAGTTATAACTTAAGATACAACTATGATGTGTAGAAATACAATTTAGGCCCCATAAGTTTCCATTCTTACATATTATTATTATTTCTGTATTATAGTATTAGGTTATTCTAATAGTTGTATTAACTATTATTATTAAGTAGTTGTAGTCATTAGTCTCTCCTATTCATAGTGAGAATAGTAGGGTTTTGTTACATGGCTAGCCAAAAAAATTCGTAGTAAAGTTCCCAAAATAGAAGATATTTTTATTTTAGAATATTATATAACAAACTATATTATCAGCTATGCCAAAAATACAGATATAAAATAAATACTTGTGTATATATTTCATTTCATATTGATTTTTCTATTTATTAGATACAGTTTTATAACACACTGATTAGCTACTTTTGTAGGATTCCTTCATATAGAATACTGGTTACTTGTTTATTCAGAATGTTTCTGTTTTATACCAAATGGCTGATTTAAATAAATTATAAGTGCAGAGATACATCATTGTTAGTCTTTAACACATTATACAAAACCAAGGATCACCAGATTAAAAAAAAAAGCATGACATATAGTTGCTTGTACAGTATAATCAACATTGTAAATTACCATTTCTGTGACAAGCTGTTTGAAGACATTTGGTATCATTGTCTCATAAACATTGGGCCTGGCATGGCCATGTGGTTAGGGAACTCGACTTGCAATCTGTGAGTTGCATGTTTTAATCCCTGTCCCACCAAACATGCTTGCCATTTCATCTGTGGGGGCATTATAATGTGATGGTCAATCCCACTATTCATTGATAAAAGAGTAGCCCAAGTGTTTGCAGTGGGTGGTGATGACTAGCTGCCTTCCCTCTAGTCTTTCACTGCTAAATTAGGGTGGGCTAGTGCAGATAGCCCTTGTGTAGCTTTGTGTGAAATTTATAACAAACAAACTTTTTAACATTGGTGTTGGAAAGCAAATGTTTATTACTAGGTAACTACTGGGACAGTATTCAATCATTATGAATTACTAGCTGGTTATTGGACAAGTTTGTAAAGTACAATAGATGTCAGACTGCATCTCAGTTGATCTATTTCTCCAATACATTTTTAGGAATTATGGCAGCTGACAACCACCTAAGAAATTCCTTAACTTGGATGTAAACAAGAAAGTACAACTTTAGGGTTTCTTAGAACTCATACTGTGAGTGTTGGATGACTGGAAGTGTGCAATATGTAGTTTAGTTTCACATTTTATGAAATAATAGAGTAAAAAAATATGGAGAAAACCTACATAAAGCATGTAACCCTCAATTTCTGTTTTAATGGTGGTGGTAGTGTAATGGTGTGCAAAATATTCTTATAACAAAGGCTGGGCTTTTTGATTCTTTTAATAGGGTGAAATGTTAAGGGCATTAAATTATATAGTTAAGAATCAGCCACATACCTTTCATTCAAATAGTTAAGCTAGTGAATTGGTGGAAGATTAAAATTAATAAGACTTGTATTAGTCTAGTCATAACATTTAAGATATAAGTTATTACTTAGATTTATATAGCTCTTGTACTTGTTTGTGGTAACTGGTATGAACAAAACCTGAGATGTTAGCTAAAAGGTTTGTCTGTTTTGATTTGACAGTGGATAGTTTCTTATACTCACAGGTGAATTGGTAAAAAAACAAAATGTACTAAAAAAAAATAGAGCATTTCATTATAAATGAACACCATTCATACTATGTAATGCTTTCCTAAGGTCAAATTTCCTAAAAGTAATGTTTTAGTAAATGTATATTCATATAACTCATGAATGATCTATACTGTTCTACCAACATATGACAATATTTTAAAGAAACAGAAACCTTTTTATTTTTTACAATTACATATAAAATAAAGCCAGCTTTCTTACTTTATTAGTTATATAATTATTCTGAAAAATGTAATAATATAACTAATTTCATTGTACTTTACTACCAAAACAAAAGCAAATTATGGATGTTTTAATAAACATTTTCCTTTAATTTCTTAGTTTAAATGAGCAGTTGTAGAAATGTTGAACCTTTATTTCATCAGTAGTATGGTTTGACTACTTTGTAAGGTATAATTTTCAAGTTTTAGATTTGGATATAATAAAGTTCATTGTCAGTTAATTATTTCATGAGAAGTTTGAATATTTTGATATTAAGAATTTTTCTCTGAGTGTTATATCTTGGTTTATATGAAAAATCCAATTTTTATTCTATATTGCAAGATGTAGAAGAACCCACTGTAAAGAACCTTGGTGAAGTAATCTTGATCACAATGGCTTGGAGATCCCATGGGAGAAGTAATGCAGAGATGGTTCAGCACCTGAAAAGTAAGCTTAGCTTGGGGATATGCTGGGTTAGCCATTACGTTTAGAATAAAGTAATGCTTGTATCCCATAGAAAGTTAAACATACCATAGATGCAATTTACTTTTGTTAGTTGTTAGTATTAGTATTTTATTTGATAAAAGTTTATTTTACTTATTCGTTGTGATTTATTTATTTTTTATTAGTTTTCAAAGTGTTTGTAACAAATTGAGGATATCTTAAACTCTATAAACAAAAAAATGTAAGCTTGGAGAACAAAAATCTTAAACTGAAAAAATTATATACGATAGGAAGAAACCTGAATAGACTTGTATGGAGCAGTTATAAAATTTTTTTACATACCTTGTAGTAACTACTTCATTGTAATGTTTCCATAGATTATTTAGACAGATCATATTTAGAAGGCAGATTTCTAATACTTTTCTACAAAAAAAAATACTTTTTAGTTCAAGAATATTGATCGCAGAAGCTTTTCACAAAATCCAAACATTCATGTAGCTTACTCAAGCTGGTACAAAGTTTTGATGTATGTATACTTATTCTAAATGTGTTGTGTTTTTTACAGAAAATGGGATAATCCACAGTGAAGTAGTTGAAAAAACAATGTTGTCTTTGGACAGAGCCCATTACTCCAAAAGTAACCCATATATGGATTCTCCACAAGGCATAGGATATGCTGTTACTATTAGTGCCCCTCATATGGTAAGTATTTGTTCCAGTATATGTGAAAATTATCATAAGCAATTTCTATCATGTAATCCAAATGGATTCAGAGAAACCTGTAATTAGTGTCTTTCACAAACAGGTCATCAGCAAGAAATAAAAACACTGAGTTATCCTACTTTCAGTGCTCCAGGTAATTTTTGGCGTGATCAGTACAGTACTGATATAATTTTGCCTCTATCGGAATCGTCCAAAATAACTTACACTATTATCTGTATAAATAACACGCTTGTGTTTGTCTGTCTGGAATTTTTCATGCATATTTCTCAATCAAATGTTACAAATGTCATACCATTAGATAGGCCTTTTTCTGAGGAGTCCAGATTGCATATTGGCTTTTAAATTCAGAATCACCTTACCTATTGTTTGCTTAGTCAAACTTTTCAATGCAATAAGGATGGTACAGGATGCACAATGTCGTTGTCATCAGGTGACGACTGGCTCCAGTTTCAATTTTAGTTTTTATATTTACAAAGTATTTCACACAAACAACACTTAACCCAAATCTAATTTCCAAAAAAAATTACCATTACACTAAAGACATTTTCTTGGGGCTTTCTTGATTTATTTAGATCTAAAATATACAAATGCAGTATGTTTAAAACTATATGCTTATTACTTTATGAACATGCATTCAGATGTTTCTGCATATTCAGCTAATTTTGCCTTTATTACAACTTTACATTTACTTTACATTGCAATAACTTAGTTTAAGTTCATTCAATGGACTGTAATAATCCCCTTTTAGCTACTTTTTTCTTGACTCTGAGTTGTATTCTTTGTTTCAACTCCTAAAACTGTGTCATACACTGGATGCTCATAACTGTTTCAACTACTAGATACCATTACTTGATTGTTTACTTTACGTGTAATTTTGTTAAATAAAGTTATGTTTGCATGAGTTTGTTTGTCTGACTGGGTAAAATTTTTTCAAATATAACAGGATTTAGTGATCTAACAAATAATGCCTGCAAGAAAGTGTAGCTTAAATGACATGAGTAAAAAGTGAAGTGTATGAAAAATGCTGCAAATTTTTTGCTGGTCGTGGCTTAATATTACATTGTTCCAAACACAACAGTGTTCCTTTTGTACTGACTTGCAATGCTATACTTTAGCTGCTACTTATGTCCCACTCCCATTGATTCATTGTTTTTCTTTCTCTTTCTGTATATATATGTGTATATAATGCAGCATGAGGAAAATACTCTTTTGAGAGACTATTCCTCATGCTGCAATATCAAACTTGGCACTTGTGTGTTTTTTGTTTGAATTTTGACATTAAGTAGGTTTAGGAGTTTTCAATGTGGATGTAAAAAAACATCTGACTGATGTCTGTTTTGACAGGAACATCTTAAATCTTGGATTGAAGCATGCAATTATATTGCAATTCAACTTCAAAATATAGTACTCAGTTGTAAAATTCTAGTATTGGTCTAGTGATGTGTTTGGTAAAAGAAGCAGTCATTATGCTTTACTTCTCATAAAGAATGGCTAAGTATTGAAATAAAAAAATAAATTGTGTTATTTTTTCTGTTTCACTGTAATTGTAGTAATAAAAGGAAAACAATAATTTCTTCATGCAAAAATGGTTCTGTAATGCGATCTACAAAATAAGTGGACTTATGCTGCAAAACCAACTGTTCATTGTCTGATAAAGGATGATCTGATGTCAGATGATATTTATCTAAATGCTCATTGTGGTTAGGAGTGACTCTTGAGGCAGACTTTGATTATTGCAATACTGTTTGAAAGCTAGTATTGAAGAACAAATTCAACTGTATAAGTAAGTGTATGTAACATATACATATATTTGTTGAGAATTGATTTTAAAAGTGTCAGTTAAATTGATTTATTGTTATTATGTGATTTCATTATATGTTGTAATACATAGTAATAAATATGTCATTGTATTTGATAAAATAGTGGAATGTTAGTTTCAGATTTGTACTTTGTAGGCCAGTTTTACTATATATATATAAAAACTTGCCTGCTGAACATGATTATTTCTCTACCCATCTACATTGAGGAAAAATAAGGTTATTCAACACATTTTGTTGTGTGCTTTTCAAAGCAGATATTACATTTGCTGGAAGCATTGTAATGCGTCATGCTGTATTTTATTGTCTGGGTGGTGGGATTACTACTCCACACAGCAAAATAAAACAGAAAACATGTTTAATAAAAAGAATAGAGGAATGTTAATGATTTGTAACTTCATGGTCAATAAAGAAAAGGAAAGAAATATGTTACTTTCTTTCATGTTTATCAATGATTCTTTTGATTATTCTTGGATGATGTCTCTAATAATTAAATATGTTGTTTGTGTAGAGAAATCCGCAGATAAAATATGCATTTTTACCAAAAAAGCTTTGTTCACTTAGGAGGCTCTAGAGATCATGCAAGTAAGGCTTACAGATGAGTATAAACCATTAAAACAGTCTAAAACAAAAGGAAGTTACTGAGAAAGAGCTTAAATAAAATGAAGATAATGGAGAAAATAATCAACTATGCAAATTATTTAAAACATTTACAGTTGAGGGTACTATCAGCAATTGTTATCAATTGTAAAATTTACCAATCTATTGATAGTTTGATGTATTGTTACACTCCTAGTTGTGGTTTGCTTTATTTTTAAGTATGATGCAAGTGCCTATGTCAAAAAATAGCTATTTTCACAGTGTGCAACCAGTAGACACTCCAATTCATATTGTAGCATATCAGTGCTAATGCATCCATAACTGATCCATGTAAAATAAAAAATGACATCTCTTCAAACATCATGCGTATTTTACGAGGATATGCTAGCTTTCTAGAGCACTGATACTTTGATAACTATGTTTTGTTTATCAATACACTTGAATAAAAATTAATTTTTCAGTCAGAACAGAACTTGGTTTGTAATAAGTTATATGTTGAGTACAGAATGCTGAGATTGCATCTTTAATTGATATACATTTTTTTAATGTAAATATTATATTGTATTGAAAGAACAAACAAAATATCTATTGAAGTTACCAGCTTACTTAATTTTAATGGTATATTTTTATCAATTTCTCCAGTTCTGTCCTCTGCCTTTTTTTATTTGATGTTTCTATTTCTGGAAATTACTTATTTTGCAGTGTTTTTGTAACCTATCAGGCAGGTGGTAGCAGGCTCAGATTGTTCATCAAAATGGTATTTTAAATACCTCCTCAATAGGTCATCAGAACTTCACAATACAATACATTGTTTTCTTTTATAACAATATATATATATAATGACTGAGTCAAGTTCTGGGAGCGTTTGTAAATATCACAGCAAAAAGTTGAATTTCATGTTTTAATTTCTTCTGCTTCTTTTTTTATTACATGATAACTCAAAAACTGAAACAACAGTGTCAACCAATTTCACTGTGGTGACTTAGTTTCAAATGGAGTATCTGCTTTTAGAAGTAATATTAATAACTATTAGTAATTAAAAAATCCACATTTTTTCAATAAAGGGTACCACTTTTAATATATATATATATAAACATTACAGTTTATATCAGCACAATCTGAACCCTTATCCTGTGCAGTACTTCCAGAAAAATCCCTTCTTAGAAAATGTTCACATTTTTTTCAATGAGGGTTGAATATCACAAGTAATTACTAGTACAAATAGCCACCCTTAGGGGAGCATTTCTGCTAGTATATATATAATTATTCAATCACAGTTGAGCTTAATTTATGCTATTTTTGTCTCTTAGTATTCCACTACACTGTGTGCCTATGCTATTATGTAGGAATGATACAAAAGCCATTCCTACTATCTTGTTTGCATTGTTTTTGAAGGATTAACATTAGCCATTCCAACATTTTCTTATTTTTTTTAAATGTTCTTTCTGTATATGTATTTTTTAAACTCTGGAAAGTGGCTTTAATCCAAAGATACATTTTGTGATAGTGCAGTATGGAGATATTATGGTTGTAACCCATCCATAATTTACAAAGTAAATACATTTTTATTTCAGATTATTATTCTGGTAATTTTTTCTAACTTCTGTTTCTTATGTAGTTACAAAAATTTGCATTTGAGCCATATCTTCAAGATGTTTGGGTGCAGTTAATTTAACCCGTTACCTGCCATGCCCTTTTTATCTTATCGTGAGGGTAAAATCACATTTGTGAATTGAAAAAATTATTGAGAACTTATCTTTTATTGGAGTTCAGATTTTATTTTTGTAAATAGTGGCATAACATTCATTTATTTGTACAAAATTGTATTATTTAATGAAGTTTAAAGAGGAATTTAATGAAAGAAATCCTAAAATATGTTTTATAAGTGCCCTCTAAGAAGAAAATCTTTTTTTCAAAATTGAAAAAACAATTTTCCTTCCACTTCAGTGCTGGTCCTGCCATCTATGATTGGTATCGAAACCTTTTTCTATTCTCTTTTCTTTATAAAACAGCGTCTTGGCGTGTTAAACATCAGTTGTAAAATATTTAGCCAATCCTAGTCGAAGGTGTCAATTTCAGTACCATGTTATTCCAATCACTGTATTTCACATTTGACAAATCATAGGATGATAAGCAAAGCACGAGACGAAACGTTGTTCTCTGGATTTTACAATATGAATGTGGATGGTGCTTATTATAATAACTACCATTTTATGTAGAAGTTGTATTTAGTATTGACCAGTAGTACTTTTCTATAAGCGTTAGCAAAGTTGCTTCTGGAAAAAACTAGATGGGATGTACGTGACTTTTATTATTTTTCTATAGTAGCTTAAGTCATGCTGCATCATATATCTGTGTATATTAATCATAACTGAAAAGTTAACTCAAAATAGATATATTTTTTAGGAAAGAAGTTAGGATTAAGAGCTATTGAGTGGCAAGTGCAAGGTCTTTACATGAATTAGGCTTAACACTTTGAACTGAAAGAGTTTGTGATTTTTTATATTTTTTGCATTGAAACTTGTAGTTTTAAGTTGAATAATTTAGCATAATTTTATATTT